CTAGTAGTACTAGTAGTACTAGCAGTACTAGCAGTACTAGCAGTACTAGCAGTACTAGCAGTACTAGCAGTACTAGCAGTACTAGCAGTACTAGCAGTACTAGCAGTACTTGCAGTACTAGCAGTACTAGCAGTAGCAGTAGCAGTAGCAGTAGCAGTAGTAGTAGTAGTAGTAGCAGTAGTTGTTGTTGTTGTTTGTAGTAGTAGTAGTAGTAGTAGCAGCAGCAGCAGTAGTAGTTGTTGTTTGTAGTAGTAGTTTGTAGTAGTAGTAGTAGTAGTAGTAGTAGTAGGAGTAGTCGCAGTACTACGGTCCAGGTTTGCCCATGCAATTGTGTTACCGGCGGGCTGCTAAAGCGTGGGCCATCTACATAAGAAAAATGGATTTGCGGAAGTTGCCCCAATGCCCCAATATGTTGTTTTTCTTGGCTTGCAGATGCTTGCAGCATGAGCTCGTCGCGTTTCTTCGGGTTTCGGTCGCAACTCCAATCTCCACTTGGCGTTGCCATTGGTTCCCAAAACCCCAAAACGTCAACAACACAAATCCCCAAAAAGAGTCGGTTGCTGCCAGACGTCCCCAACCAAGAAACGAAAGCAGGGTTCCCGAAAACCGAGAACGTAAGAAGGTTATTCATTTCCAAAGCAGAAACTGATGATGTCGATGAGGCTGACATGAGCAGTGATGAGCACAACATAGCATAACGGTGAAGAACATGATGATGATGATGGTGATGATGATGATGATGACAAAGAGGAGGAGGATAAACAATGACAATGATAGTTATTTACATGTGGTGTTATTATTAGCAAGAGCAGTATGTAGTGCCGATGATGCTGCTAGTGATCCTAGCGGCAGAGCTATTGCTAGTGAAAGTGCAGTCACTATTGCTCTTGCTGCTGCTGCTGCTGCTGCCGCTGCCGCTGGTGCTGGCATGACAAACTTGCTGTCGCAATGGCACTGATGCTGTGGGTGGCGGGTGTTAGCCTAGCAAACAGGCTATACCCCAAGACCGGAGGGCTTCTATAGCCACTCCTCACTCCGACCTACCTTTCTTGGGATTCAAGAGCGGTCTCTCAGACGAGGCTTTTGCACGAGGATTCCCGCTCGTTTTTGATCAATCCAGACTCGTAGAAGTGATATCTGCACCTGCATCCTCTCTCGTTTGAACGTCGTAAACCTCCGAACAAGCTTGACCGCGTAATTTGAAGCCCCTGGCTGCATCAAGTACTACAAACCCCCAGGAAGCATGTTAGGGCTGCACGAATCCTAAATCCTTTCAGGTAGTCCGCAGTGGTGCTTACATCCGGGGCGATGTCCTAGTTGGCGAGAAAGCGGCCGGACTCCCAGATCTTAACTTGGTACGGCTTCAACATTCCACATAATGACTCGGGGGCCTGTTATGAAAGATGTATACATATGCAAATCATATTCTTACATATGTATGTATGTTTGTTTGTTTGTCTGTATGTATGTATGTATGGCATGTAGGTATGAAGGTGTGTAATGTATACAATGTATATAGATATGGACATGTATGCGCATGTGTTTGCTTGCTCACTTACTCATGTTTCATCTAGGTGTCTAGCCAGCTACGCACTTTCTTCGGTTACAAGCTGTCTTTCTAGCTGGTTGTTCAGCTTGTACACGGGCAAATCCTTTCTCGATGGGGTTGCTCGCCTATATCTAAAAGGGGCCCGTCCCGCGACAAATGCCCCGGAGCATACCCGAAAATCTCCTTGCGACTTGCTTGGCTAAAGAACAGTCAAAACCCTTAGGAAGCATACCCCAAGATAAACATCCGTTCGTGGGCAACGTGTTTCACGCAAGCAGCCATGTCTTCACAAGGCTTACACAACGAAGAATGTAATGAGATAACTTGATGGGGTGGCTTAGATGCCCTATGGTGTGGCTTGCCGTGTAGACAGTCTAGCATTTCAGAGCGCAGGCTTTCCGCATGTATGGATTTTAAGTTTTGGGGTTCGCACATGTAATTCTGGAATTGCGACTTCTCCTTTCATTTGGGGGCTCATGTTCGCGAGTATCGCAGGTCCTTCGTGGCGAGCTGAAGAACAGCTTGGTGATGGACAAGGCGGAGCTTGCGCACCCAGGTTCCTCGGCTCAATGTTCTGCGTTTGGGGTTTTGGGTGTATATAGGCTCCCATGCAAGCCTGAAGCAGACCGTAGCCGACCCTTCCTGTGGCACCAGAGCACGCAGACACGGGCAGGTAGGGTTCCCTTGCGATGTCCCTGCACCTTCGCTTGACAAGCGACGTGAAGGGTTTTGTTCACAGTCCCATGCCACAAACTAGGAAGCCAGGGCCCAGTTACTCGGCTGAGTTACTGCCGCTATTTCTGGATCAGCCGCTGAATGAATCGGCAATGCTGTTGATTTGGCAAATCCTCGCTTCTCCTAAACGCAGTAGCGTGCAGACCCGAGACTTGACCGAAGGTTATGTGGAAAGGGCGATGATGATCGCTGTTGAGGGTGTGAGATTAAATCTGGGATCCATGCAAGCATGACACGCAACATTGTACGCATGTCACCACTTGCATCGGCGCTACGTGTTTAAGTCCTAAGCACTCCCTTTCACATGTATTTAAACCTTAATGACCTTCGTGAGAATTGATCACTCTTGATCATGTTTTTCGGTGAAATGATCATCTCCTTCGTGAGCATTGGTCAAAAGTGATCAAGTCTCGCGAATGGTCAGGGATTTTCGGTTGAAATCTTCATTGCACTCGGGAGAACTGATCAAAAGTGGTCAATCCTCACGAATGGTCAGGGGTTTTCTGCTCAAATCTTCATTTCAGTCGCGAGAATTGATCAACAGTGATCAATTCTCACGAATGGTCAGGGGCTTTCCGCTGAAGTGTTAGCTTCATTCGTGAGAATTCATCAAAAGTGATCAGTTCTCACGAATGGTCAGGGTTTTTTGCTGAAATCTTCATTTCATTCGTGAGAATTAATCAAAACTGATCTATTCTCACAAATGGTCAGGAATTTTCGGCTAGGCGTTGGCGGCAGACAGTGACCTGAGCGAGCGCAGATGTGGTTCGAGGGTGGGTTGGGGAGACGCATGAAGCTTGACAGAACGTTGAGTACCGATGTTTTTCGGGCTGACCTTTTCGTTGAGTTGGACGGCTGGCCCTGACCGCAGCCGTGCGACCTGGGCGAGCATAGATGTGGTCCGAGGGTGGGTTGGGAAGTTTCATGAAGCTTGACAGAACGTTGAGTACCGAAAGGTGAAGAGAGTCCAACTATAAATGGAACTCGTTGGTGTAACAGAACGAACTTTTTATTTTCCAATGTTGTGGGATTCAAGGGTGGGTGGGTGGTGTGTCTAAACCGTGAATTAACTTTACTATAAAACTGCTCGACCCGGAGCTGCTGAACTGTAAACCCTAAACCCTAAAGACCCAAAACCGTAAAACTTGAACCCTAAACCCTACAAAGCCTTCAATTCTACACCCTATACCCTAAACTCTAAACCCTGAGCCTGAAACCCTAAGTTCGAAAAGCCAAAAGCCTTAAACCTTAGACCTTGAACCTTGCACCCCAAAAGTAAACCCGAAACCCTAAACCCTAAGCCCTAGGCCAGAAAACGTAAACCATAAACCTTAAAAACATAAAACCTGAACCCACAACCTTAAACCGTAAACCCTAAACCCTCAGCCCTAAACCCAAAAGGCCTAAAACCTAAACCCACAGCTCTAAACCCCAACACCGCAAAACCTGAACCCAAAACCCTGAACCATAAACCCAAAACCCTAAACCCTAAAACCTGAACCCAAAAGTCCTAAACCGTAAACCTTAAAAGCTAAACCCTAAACCCTGAACCTGAACCCACAATCCTAAACCCTAAAACCGTAAAAACCTGAACCCGAAACTCTAAACCATAAACCCTAGACCCGAAACCCTAAAACCGTAAAACCTGAACCCACCAACCTAAACCATAAACAGTAAAACCGTAAAACCCTAAAGCCTAAGCCCTAAACCCAAAGCCCTCAAATCTGAGGAGTGTGCACTGGATGCTGATTTGAGAGCGCGTATTGGATGCAAATCGGAGTGCACCCGTCATGCACTGAACCCCGCGACATGAAGATCCCTGTGCATGGTGTCTAGTGGCATTACAGTACTCGAAGTCCTCAGCGAGAAGGTTATGCCGGCGACTCCCTGATCGGCTACAAGGGCCACTTTGGCTGCCAGGCCAACTGGCGGGTTTGCCGACATACTGGAGGTGTTCGAGCTTTTCGAGCTCTGCTTGGGTGAAAAGGCTTTTGCGGCGTCGAGGTTGCCAGTGAAGCTGCTCAATGGCATATTTTATACCCGAGAGCAGGTGTAGCTCACCTGCATTCGGTTCACTTTCCCAAAGCATTAGAAGCTTAAATCGTGTTTATCACCTTGCTGAGGTCCGAAATCTCGATCCACTCAGAGACAGCTTCTGAACACCTTCCAGTCTTTAGAGCACCTACCTGGGAATCTTGTTCTTCGCAAGGCGCTGACCGCAAACCTCGGCCTCTTCGGGAATCAGCTCTCCGTGAGCGTCCCCGGCGAGGACATGCAGATCGAGTGCGGTCAAACCGTAAACGCCGTAAACCGTAAACAGCTTGGGCTTTGTTGAGTACACAGGCTGCGCAGAAGTGCGTTGCATCTAGTTCCTTCACCCGTGCCTCTAACCGTCGGTCTAAACGTCGGGTTGGAACGGAACTAGGCAAACAGGGAAGTATTCTGAAGCACTTGATTTCTACGGCCGTCACAAGTCAACAGTCATGAGGCAGCGTTATATGCACCTGACGCGCTGTTCAAAGTTGCAGGCAGTCGGACTTAGTACCTCAGACCAATGTGCTGCCGCGGCTTTGCAACTCCACAGCGGTGGGCCTGTTGCAACCCCGCTTGCGGCTGGTGTTGGGATTGTCAATGTTTGGATTCCCAGCCGATCTTCTTCCTTCTTCCTCGAGTGGACACCTATGCAGAACTGAGATCAACTCAAGGTGAAGTGCATGTTGATTTATCAACTGTCTACGCTTGCCTGTCATGCTGGAGTGCTAGCCACGCAGCCCCTAATTCCAGAATAGGATCGACCCTACCAAATTTGGAAGAACAAACACAGATAGAGATATAGATATATATAAATATCAATATGTATTTACGGATGCTGACCTTCGCGAAGCGCTCGACATGTGACCTGGGAGAAACACGCCACCAGAGACCCTCAGCCTTAAACCTGTGGAGACCTCAAACTCTCCCTACAGGCCCAAGCTTGAAACTCTTTAAGCCGAAAAAACCTTCCAGCCTAAAGCCACCAAAACCTTCGAAGTGTTTCCAGGAGGCGTCACACGCTCGGCCGGTTCGAGTACGGCTTGGCCGACGGTCCATCGGTTTATTTCTGTTGCGTGTGCTTTAAGAAAAACGAGGTTAGTGCTTTCTTGGGTTAAGGGTTGTTAAGTATAGTTTTAGTGTTCGGGTTTCAGATTTTTGGCGTGTGCGGGTTTTGTTGTTTGGGTTTGAAGTCTGACTGCGTAGGGTTGTAGAGTGTGCATCCAGGTGGCAGTTGAATCTGAAGTCGCTCTTTCCGAATATGGTATGTCGCGGATTTGGGTTCGAGTTTTTGGCGCTCCCTCCGCACATTCTAAAGTGAAGGGAACGTGTACCGGGCGAAGACGCTCTTTGTTGACGGCGTCATTTAAGATACGACGGTCGAAATCCGAGCAATACATGCGGCCATTCTGCGGTCCTGACTGCCCTCCAAGCACCAGAGTCACCTGCAACCTCAGCCGGCTGCACCTCCCACCACGTTTGCAACATTCGGACATACGAGAGCCTCAAAAGATGTATCCCTGCTGTAAATTCGCGTGAACTCGGCTGATTCTTCTTACTAGAAACATCCTTGGAACCCTTGACATTGTACCCAGGAAAGTCGGAGCAATACTTGGGGCAACTCGAGCCGCATGCTTTGTGAGCTTGGGTTTTAGAAATTATTGCTTGAGGTCTGCGACCTGATGTAGAAGCTCGCGAGACTTTTCAGCACGAGTGAGCTACTGTTGCTGGTAGTGCCACTATGACGGCGACGATACCACGCTACCGGTAAGAATGGCAAAAAAGATCAGCATGGTCGTGCTAGCAACGACAGCACCACTAAGCACATGGACGACAATGTTGCTGATCAGAGAGGCAGGTAACTGGGTTCGTAAATTGGGGGAGTTGAGGGCTTGGGCAACATGACTTCCACTTCGTTAGCTTTCGTGATGATTGGTTATGTCGATGTGGTTTGCACTTGAAGCTGAAATCCCGAAACGCTGCATGGGCGAGGGCCCGAGAGGTTGTGCTAAGATGGCTTTGCCAAGATGTCAAAGCCAGGCGGTCTATGTGTAGACCCGTTGCGAGCGTTTGTCAAGCGACACTGCTTTGACTAAACGCGAGGACTTTGCTCAGCTCGGCTGCTCGTCAGTGACAGATCCAGCGACTTTCCTGGCGCCAAGAACCGTGACCTACACGTGCCGTGGCTTTAGTCGACAGACGGACCAGCTACTGTGTGGGAACCCCATGACGAAACACAGGATAGTCTTGTCGCTTGCGTTGCACGAAGATGGAGTACACACTTTTCATGAGTGTAACATGGATGCTCCTGTTTAGCTTTCTCTCACAGCATGTCCTTACTTGAAAACTTCTGGACTGTTTAGCCACTTGTGTTGGTTCAAGCCGGCTGTCCGAGCGCAGGTGACTTCACACCTGTGACAGAATCCTCTTGCCAAATACGTTTACCATAGTGGTTGAATTTTCGGGAACCACAACCTGTGCTTTGTTGTCTGTGGAAGGGAACCAACCAATCAGAACAACTTTTTGTTGTCTCCATGCACTTGGACAGCTAGCGCATGTGCAGTTAGATTCTGTGAAACCTGCAACTTCCGGAGAAGCCACGCCTGCATCGAGGCTTTGCAGGCTCTCATCAGGCTTCTACGGGCCTGATGAGATAATCAAAAACAAGCCGGAGGCACGGAGCGTTGTCGACAAGATGGGAGCTTATGAATTCAGGAGCGTCTGAACCTTCAGAGTCGCAGTTAAAGGTTTGGGATTTGAGTCCACTTTGAGGCTTAACTGATTTTCTCCCAGGCGGGTATGCTCGGATGAGATCGGTTCCAGGCCTCACGGCTTGCATCTTGCTAACTGCACCAGCATACTCCAACATGAAATCTTTGGTGCCGGTTTTGCATGAGGCGACGAGCTGAGTGTTTATGATGGGCCGCGCGCGGAAAGAATGTCCAGAAACCGCGAACGTTGACGAACAGCCAATGTGGAAGCTGCGAAAACAACCCGGAAAACTCAAGCCACTCCATACTTTCGGTTACGACAAGCCTCAGAGCTAAAAACGCACTGAATGAAGGCTCCAAAGCACGCACTGCCCCGGGAGCAAAACACAAGCAAGCCCCAAACCCGGAGCATCCGACCCCATACACTTCTTGTGACCCAAGCCCTTGAATGGCGTGCCCGTCAAGGAATCTGACCAACTAGACTGAAAGTTTCAAGATGTGTTAGCCGATACTGTTTTACGGAGGTATGAACTACACTGTAGGTTCCCGTGCAGTGGTTTGAAGGCGGTGTCCGACCCGGTCACTAGTGTGCAGGAGGCCGGAGCCCTGCAGCGGATACGGCTCCTGCCAAAGTGAGCTGATCATCGTTTCGCCGATTCCAGCTTTGAGGCAAAAAAGAGAAAAAACTGCAAGGACTGCTCTTGAAATCTTAAGAGGCAAGAACAAGTCAAATCCAGAGAACAAGACGAGAAGATTGCAGGCCCCTACCTGCAAAGTCAGGATTTTTGTTACAAGCACCAGCCACTAAAGCACAATCAGTGACAAGGCTAGTCAGCACGACCACGCTGCTCGGGCAAGACTGTGGACAAACATTCCCAGCCATGGACCCCGAGCCTTGAACCTCATGTCCGAACCCAGTGGGCCCAAAGCCGCACAGCACAACCTCAAGCGGAAAAACAATGCCCCTACCAACCTTTAAAGGTGCACGAAAGTGGTGAGAACTGATAAGGCTGACAGATGCAACAACAACTCGGCGGGCGCTAGCAGCAAGCATCGATGGAGTGCTTGGTGGAAGCGCTAGAGTCGGATGCTAAACTCACTAAATGCATGAGGGTAGGAGATTCTCAGCTTCTGGTGTCAACATTGAATCTTTGAGCCGTAGTGTTGGCGTTTCAGGTCACCGCTGTGCAGATCATCATGACTTGGATTTCAGCGTTCCCAACTTACGACTTGCCTAGTTCTTCGGGTTCTGTCTTATCATTCTGGGTGCCCGATTAACTGGTCTGGGCCAATGTTATGGGCATTCTTCATGCGCTGCAAACGCCGGGAGCGCTGCATCTTCAAGGTTATGAAGCTTGGGTAGCCTGCACCCTCAATCCTCGTCCGGAAGCTGTTGCAGCTGTTGGGCTTCCGACTTGCTGACCCAGGCCTTAGACCGAGCTGCAGCCGTACACGCGGCAGGGGGCACAGCTGCGATCCCTTTAATCTATGCATTTCCCAAGCATCGTACAACAAAAACAAAGGTCTGTTGAGTCGATGATACACTGGAGGCATTCACAAATACATACCTACCCACCTGCCTACGCGTGTACATCCATGCATGCATATATACATGCGTACATGGACTTTCACCAAAAAGGGCGAGTAAAGAGTTCAAGTAGAGGTGGCCATTATTATGTTCAGAGACCTCGTTTTTCTCTTCGCTATTAGGCGGGGCCCCATGTTGGGCACGTTAAACCCCACCTTGGCGCTAGATCCGCGATAGCCTGGCGCTGGCAAAGTACGTCTCAAGACGCAAGGCCTGGCTGATCCAATGCCGCAACAATGTCCCAGATGAAGCTTCACAACATGCTGCTCCCACAGTTTAACCCTAAATTTGTGGCTTTCGAGCTTTCATTCGAGATTCTATAAGTAAGCGTGATTGGACCGGACGCTCAAAGCTAGGTTCGGGACAACTCACAAAGCAGCATATGTTGCGTGCACGCTTCCGCCGTTGGGAGGCCACGACACCCTAAACTTGAAATCAGGGCCTTTCGAGTTTCCCGGTCATGTCTCTCTTTCGGCTGAAATTTGGGGGCAAGTCTTGGCATTTCGCGCTAGCTCCGCGCGAGCACGTTGTTGACAACTTTCGCTTTGGCCATGAAACACCCATTTGTGTAGGCAGACAACGGGTGTGTTAAGGTTGTAGTTAGCTTGCTTAGCAGTGGTGCACGGGCGATGGAACTCGGGAGCAAAGACCGGAGCCCAGAGCAGCGACACGGAGTGAAAGATTGTTTCGACAGGGATTTGCTTTTTTCTGAACCTTGAAGCCAAACCCAGAACAAGTAGCTAGATGGTTACATAGCTAGACAGGCGGATAGGTAGGTGGATAGATAGATAGACATACAGACCGAAAAAACACTGACAGATAGATCAAGGTTTGTATGATAAGAATTACGTGTGAATATGTGTGTGTATATATATATATGTACATGCGCAATTGTATACAGACTTGCAGTGAATTATGTAAGCGTACACGTGTCCGCGTGTGCGTGATGTGCATCGATCGACAACAGCAGAAGTAAGTAGCGGTCGTCGTGCGATGATGCTAGCTGTAAGACGCTGTGATGATACCGCATGTCCTCTTGCTTGGCCCTTCCAGTCTCAAGACAATCACTGGTTGGATTGGGGGCGGATCGAAAAGTCTGACATGCGCTTGTTCAGGTTGGCCCACGAGTCCCAATCCGAACATCGAATCCAAACCGCACACCGTGAATCAACAAAAGCCAAGACCCAGGACCTTTAACGTTAAAGGCACCCTACACCTGCCCCCCAGACCCCAGCCGGAGGTTTGCAGGTCCTGGGCTCTTTGCGGAAGCTTTAGGGTGTGTTGAAGCTCTCCCGTCAAGAGTCCTCGTGCCGCGCTGCCTTTCTTTTGCCAGGTATCGGGTTGAGGGTTTAGAGCTTTAGGGTTTCAGAATTACTTTCAGGGTCCGGATCGAGATACATATTTTGAGGTGGTCTCATTGTGAAGCTCCGATGCCTTCAAGAACTCACAAACAGCCGTGAGAAGTCCTAAGCTTCTGTAACATTCAAGATTCAAGGACCATACAGCCTTCCCAAACTCCTACACCACACCATCGCACACTCCGGATGCACTGCTGGATCGTAGAGGCCTGAAACTTTCAACCAGATTGGGTCAAATTTGCAGAGTGTTGTGCAAGCCATTTCCCCAGATCCTAAACTTTAAAGTTCGTCCTAAAGTTTGAAGCCCAAAGCCCCCCAGTGCGCACGTTCCAAGAGCAAAAGCCGCAGATCCCAAACGAAGGTGGCCTTCGCGCTCTCGGGAGCTCAGGAGGTGGAAGCTGCGTTGTTCAGCTTTAGGAGGTGAAGGGTTGCAGGGCATAATGAGGGGTGTCAAGTTTGGTCCAAATTCCACACTGAAATTATCCAAGCTGGCATCACAAGGAAGCAGGGTATGTGCATGTGACCCCCCGTTTGTGTGCACCCCTGCGGCTCAAACATGAGTAGCAATCCTTACTGTATCATCACATCTACTCCTCCACTACCAGCGTCATGGCTGAAATTCATGCTCTTCCAGCCCCGAGCTCGTTGTCCTGAACCATGTCCCTTTTGTGCCGGCGCCTGACCTTAAGACCCAAAGCCTGCACTCGGAACTAGAGTTTTGAATTTGAAGCCTCATCCCGAAACCCTAAGACTAAACCCTCCAAGTCTTGAAGCCCGGAAGACGAGTTCGACCTTTCGTCTTGATGCTTTGATTATGAGTGTTACTGGTACGAATGTTGACGGTAACTGTTCTCCATTTCCGCCGGCACAAGTACAAAAGTCATGATGAGTAAGTATAAAACTTACACTGCGGGTTCTAAGCTATAGGGATTTGGGGCACGAATACCGCGATGATGCGGGCACTCTACCCAACTAGCACAATACTAAGCACTAAGACCTACATTGAAAGCTTTGGAAATGGTTCTTTTTAGCGCTAATGCCTCCTCGGTCACAGACTATAAAGCCCTTATCCACAGACGGGTCAGCTGAGCACATGAGTCTTGGAGATTAGAGCTTCTTGGATACCCAACCTACATTTCATCTTTACCCAAGCTGAACACGAACAGCTACTTGTAGGACTTCGAAGGTTGTTCCAAGCTTGGCATTTCGGCTTGAAGGGCTTCTGGATTCTAGATCATGGTTTGGTTAATGACAACCCATGCAGAAAAGACGCAGGAAAGGTTTGTTGTGTTGTTTTGCGACACTTGCGGGTATTACGGTCGTGGGGTCCTCCCGTGTACATGTGCGGTATAACCCATGCACAAGAGACACAGGAAAGGTTTGTTATGTTGTTTTTCGACACTGGCGGGTGTTAGGTCGTGGGGTCCTCCCATGTACATGTGAAGTAGAATCCATGCAGAAAAGACACAGGAAAGGTTTGTTGTGTTGTTTTGCGACACTGGCGGGTGTTACGGTCGTGG